GAGAGAGAGAGAGAGAGAGAGAGATCAGCTGGAAAACATGTATTAACTAATGTCCTATCTTGTTGTGTGTATGCGTGAGTGCACGTAACCTATGTAACATCCACTGCCGTTGTAAACGGCCAAGACAAATTCCTCCCTGTGAGATGAATAAACATTGCCATTGTCAAAAACAATGGATTTTAGAACCACCAAGGGATCTTTAACGCACACGGCTTGCACACGAGATCTCCGTGATTCTATTTTTTTCTGAGAAGGCTGCATGTTAGATCTTACCTACCCTAAGATCAGGGGTGTGGCTGAAAAGCTTAGTAAGAAGAAACCAAGGAGTAGCAGTAGAAAGAGTCAGGGAGGGGGTTAAGGGGGTGAGGGAGGGAGCAGAAAGGGAAGACACAAGCAGACGACACAACATGGTTAGAGAGCAGGAAAGGACGAGGTGAAAGGAGGAAATTTCAGAGAAGAAAATTTTACGTTGTTGTCAGGTTTTGAACCCAGAACTTATTGAATGAGAGGCAAACACCATACCTCTAAACCATGAGAGCCCCCGATGAGTGTTAGAAATGATTTGATCAGTAATGAGTGTATTTCACAATGTATTTCAGACTGTTGGACTGACTGTTAATGCAAGCATCGTAGACCAACGACTCTCTGGCAAGATTGTTGATTACAAGTATGACCTGTGACCTATTACTGCATGAGTGTTTAATTTATTCTGGGGGGGGTTTTCATGCACACTTTTTACTTTTGTGTATTACAGTGAATGCATATGATGAAGAGGCAGAGAAGGAAAGAGAGAGTTTGTGGTGCTTTTGTGGAGAAGAGAGAGAGAGAGAGAGACAGACAGACAGACAGACAGACAGACAGACAGACAGACAGACAGACAGACAGAGGGGGAGAAAGAGAGAGGGAGAGAGAGAGAAAGAGAGAAAGAGAGAGAGAAAATCTAATGAAAGTGGAAAAAGAAGGAGAGGGAATATTTTTTAATAAAAATTACTTGTGGAAGGTTGTTATGGATACAATTTATAGGGAGAATATGCGAAATTGATGTGTGTTCTAAACGTGCTAAAAAGAGCTTATTTGTCTGTTATACATTCAGGGTGCTTGTGATTTTTTTTTTCTTCTTAGCTTCGATGTTGGCATCCTCAAATCCAATGTGGGACATCTGAATGTAAGTAACTGATTTGCAAACTCACTGCTTGGAGTTTTTCTCTGTCATATGTTGAAAGAGTGTCGCTGACTGTTTTTGTGGGGAGGGAAGCCACTCCATGTTGGGTTGATCATCCTAGAACAAGGCAGGTAATGGCCAGAGGTATCATTAGGTAAAAATATTTTTCCAGCGACTATCATCCAATTCTCCGAAAAAGTTGGATAACAGATAGAGATAGCAGAGGCCGGTTTTTCTTTTAAAAGCTCGACCTATAAAGTTTAGTATGTTATCCCCACCAACCCCACACACAAATTCATTACCCCCTCAAGCATGAATTTAAGTTATTCTTTGAGGTTTTCTCAAATCTTATTGACTCTAAATCAATCTGTGTAAAGGAAGAAAGCACATTGCATTGTAATACTGAAATGTTAAGTTTCTACTTGTGTGTGTGCGTGTGTGTGTTGTGGGGGGAGGGGGGGTGCATACGCATGCGACCGCAGTGGACAAACATTTTAAGTCATATTTTCCAGTGAAGAGAAAATCCAATTCTAGGTTTTATACACTTTGGACTTTAATCAATTTTCTAATTACCCTCTTATATGAAGGGTCTCTAACTCAGGACCTAGCTTTTTGTTTCATTTGATTGTTTTGAGAGTAGACTATGGAACCCTATACACATGCTGAAGATTCCAATTCAATAATTTCAAGTTTATGACTGATCAGGGTTTTTTTCCGTTTTGGTCTCCTCTTGCATGTCAGTATGTTCAACGCAATTCTCGTTCTTGTTTCCCTAGCCGCGATCCCTGAACATCATCCTGAACTTTGCTATGGATCAGGTGGTCATTCCCATGTTGAATGGTGAGGACATTTGAGTAGTTTGCTTGCCTAAATGTGCTTGGATATAGTCCATTTCTGGAGTTTGTGTGAGCTATTGTAGAATTAAGACAGGTCTCTTAGGAAATGTTTTCTTATTCTTCATGTGCCAGATCTGAAACAGCCATTGGCACTCATGGTTCGTTCTTTCAGCGTGAAAAAATTTCGTTTGCAGACGGCTACGTTCCACCATGGAGGGCTCTTTGACTGTAGGGCTATTCCACGGTAACTGACGGGACAAATGAGGTGTTTTTTCTGTCCCATCAGTTGTTACCAAAACTAAACACGTTGCAGAATTTGCATAACATACTTTTTTTTTCAAGAGACTGCATTTAATATGATTTTTAAAATTGTGTTTCGAATGATTTGGTCATTTAAAGTTGAAATAAATTAATTGATCTTGAATTAGTGTTGTCATTGTAAGAAAGTATAGTCCAAATGTTTTGGCAGTTGCTGTGGAATAGCCCTGTAATGTTAAGTGTCATGGCAGACATAGGCCAAGTGTATAAAGATACAACGTACACGAATATATGTATGTATAACTGGACACCTATTGATGACCAAGATTCCTTTTTTTTTGTTCAAACATAAGGGTTGAGGAATATCATCATCATTATCATCAGCATCATCATCATCATCAGCATCATCATCATCATCATCATCATCATCATCATCATCATCATCATCCGTCATCGTCATCATCATCACCATCATCATCATCATCATCATCATCAGCAGCAGCAGCAGCAGCTGCAGTGTAGTCCTCAAAGCTATAAAAGTTGTTTTTTTTAATCATTGCTTTCTGAGCAATCTTTCTGTTTGTACATGTGAACATCCTAACAATAACTACCACATTGACACAGAGACTGGGGAGCAAAGAACAGGACCACTGTGTCCGTACCGCGCATGTCATTGAAGGCGACTGAGGTCAGTTGGGCAAAGGGTTAAAACAAAAAAGCAGCTACAAAAATATCAACAGCAAAAACAACACGACTGCCAGTTCTGGAAGATGGAGGACCTTCATCACTGAAGAGAGGAGAGAATATGGAGTGTAGAATGACGCAGGGTGGTGAAGTCGAAAGGAAGCCACCAAGCCGAGAAACCTCCTGTCGACCAGAAGAACCACCAGACTTGGCACCTGGAATGTTCATACAATGTACGAGACAGGGAAGGCATTGCAGGTTGCAAGAGAGATGGAGGCCTACCAACTGGATAGATGGACGAATGCAGGAGAGTGCCAACTTGCTTCAGGGGAAACAATTCTCTACTTTGGACATCTGGAGGAAAACTCGCCACATACAGAAGAAGTAGGTATTCTGTTATCAACACAGGCCAAGCGGGGTTTGATAGGATGGAAAGCAGAGGGTCTGCAACTAATATCAGCCGAATTCCGTTTACAGTAGAAAGACATCAACCTTCATGTTATCCAGGGATTTGCCCCCACCAATGATAAGGACCAAGATGTGAAAGAGACTTTCTACAAAATGCTACAAAATACTATTGATCAGGTTAGAAGGAAAGAAATCTTGGTTGTAATGGGAGACTTCAATGCTAAGGTTGGCAGTGACAATTTAGGCTTTGAGGAAATCATGGGGAAACGAGAATTGAGAACTATTTGTGGAAATATGTGCAACAAATGGGCTCATGATAGGAGGAACTGTTTTCCCACATAAACAAATACACAAAGCCACATGGGTGTCTTCAAACCAACAAACTGAAAACCAGATTGACCACATATGTATCAACAAGAAATTCAGGAGATCAATAAGGGATGTTAGAGTTTACAGGGGTGCTGATGTAGCTTCTGACCATAACCTGCTCATTTCAACAATCCGACTAAAACTAAAGCAAAGACAAGTGATTGTCAGTCATAGGTGCCGGTAAAACGTAGAATTTCTGAGAGAGCCATCGTCAAGAGAGGAGTTTAATGTAGCAGTTAAGGACAGGTTCCAAGTGTTGGAAACACTAGATGAGGATAGCAGTGTGGACGAAAAATGGGAGGCAATAAAAGAAGGCTGGACCACTGTGTGTCAAGAGGTACCGGGGAAACGGAAACGTGAGCACTAGCCTTGGATATCTGCCACCACTCTGAGGAAGATAGAGGACTGGAAAAAGAAAAAGGATCAGGTAAACAGGAGCAAGACAAGAGCTGCCAAAGCAAAGGCCCAAGAAGAATACACCAAAGTAATGAAGGATGTAAAAGTCAACTTACGGAAAGATAAAAGAAACTATGTAGATGACCTGGCACGCGAGGCAGAGGAAGCAGCAGGGAAAGGAAATATGAGAGGACTGTATGAAACCACCAAGAAACTTGCAGGCAGATACAGGAACGTAGATGTGCCAGTTAAGGATAAAAAAGAAAAGCTTCTCACAAATTCAGACAAACAGAAAGAACGCTGAAAGGAACATTTCAAAGAGCTACTTAACAGACCAAGGCCAGAAAAACAACAGTTTGACATTCCACCAGCAGAGATTGGTCTGGGGGTGAGTGAAGAAAAGCCCTGTTTAGAGGAGATCAAGGAGGCGATAAGACACCAGAAAGCAGGCAAGGCGGCTGGCGTAGATAAAATTTCCCCAGAAGTTCTCATGGCGGATATCGACACTGCGGCTGGGATTATCCATGGAATCATTGGCAAGATATGGGACAGCGAAGAATTTCCACTGGATTGGAGAGAGGGATTGCTTGTGAAATTACCCAAGAAAGGAGACCTACATGAGTGTAAAAACTACAGAGGAATCATGCTCCTGTCCATTCCTGGGAAGATTTTAAGTCGCACCATACTGGAAAGACTGAAAGAAGCCATGGATGTAAAACTAAGAGAGGAGCAAGCAGGATGTCGTAAAAAGAGATAATGTACAGATCAGGTTGCAACTTTGAGGATAATAGTGGAGCAGTCCACAGAGTGGAACTCTTCCCTGTATGTTAACTTTGGTGACTACGAGAACACTTTTGACAGCATTGATAGGGACTCAATATGGAAGCTCATTCACCACTACGTAATACCTGATAAGTTCGTGAGATTGATCAAGAAGATATATGAGGAAATGAGCTGCAGTGTCTTACTTGGAGGGCAGTGGACAGACTCGTTTGAAGTGAAAAACAGGAGTGAGACAGGGATGCCTGCTATTGCCTTTTCTCCTTTTATTAACAGTGGATTGGATAATGAGACAGACAACATCGGGACAACGCGGTGACATACAATTGACCCTTTCCAGTCAGTTGAAAGACTTGGACTTTGCCGACGATTTGGCACTTCTTTCTCACGGTCGAGCCCAGATTCAACAGAAGACAGATCGCCTCAGGACCTTCTCCCGTAGTGTTGGACTCCATATTCACATGGATAAAACGAAAGTTCTTCAAATGAATGCAGCCGATGTTCCTATCACACTGCAAGGGGCACCATTGGCGGATGTTGAATTTTTCACCTACCTGGAAAGTGTCATCAATAAGGCAGGGGGAACAGACAAAGACATCAAGGTCAGAATCCAAAAGGAAAGAGCAGCATTCATCATCCTCAGGAATATATGGATGTCTAAGGAACTGGGATTGAACACCAAGCTGAGGATCTTCAAAACAAACGTGAAGACTGTTCTACTGTATGGTTCAGAGACATGGAGGTTCACAGCGTCAGCAGCAAGGAAACTGCAGAGCTTCATAAATGGATGCCTAAGAAGGATAGTGGGGATCAAATGGTACGATCGAGTCACAAATGCTCAACTGTGGGAAAGAACAAGCCAAAGGCCAGTAAAGTAAGACATCATCATCATCATCAATGCCTTTCACCCCTGGCAGGGTATAGGCCACATACAAGCTCCTTCCATTTATCTCTGTCCTGAGCCATCCTTCCAAGCTGTACAAGCGGAAATCGAAATGGCGGAGACATCATGGAAACAGCTAGAAAAGGATGCTCAGGACAGGCTTTGCTGGAGAAATGTTGTTGATGGCCTATGCCTCCCTGGGAGTTAAAAAGGGCTAGAGAGAGAGATACAATTTTTTATCTTGGTGCATAGAAAATGAAGGTATATTGAATATATTACAGTGAATGAGCGCCCGAAAGAGACAACTTTGCCATCTTTTGAGTTCACATCATTCTCAATCAATTGCCCAAATAGCAAGTGATTGGTTGGAGGATACTGCTGATAGGTTTTACATCTTTGTTAATAATTTTTTTATGTTTCTGTCCATCTGTCGCATTCTTAGTCAACAGATATTATCATTGTGGAATGAATGTTCTTCTCTTTAACTCAGATTTCAACAAACAAATTTTATTAACTGTCGCTAACTAGCCTTACTGCAGGTGTGATCAGACTTCCTGTCATAAAATGTCTGTGAACAATGGCAGACTAGGATTTGGAACTCAAACGTTGCAATTTTTTTCATGTTTCTCCCTCCTAGACTTCGGCAAGAAAGGCTTCGACCTGCCAGTATCTGGGGACATCAAGTTCGAGTACACGAGCCTGCAGCTTTTAAATGTAAGGTGTCATAATCATTGTTATAATTGTCTCATTATTATTGCTTTCCTTTTTTTATCGACTTCCTCATAATAGTTATCTTCATTATCATCGTTATGATTTTCATCCTCTATATTCCTCTCTTCCAGGATCTTTATCTTCATTCTTTTCTTCATCATTTTCATCAATGTTGTTATAATCATCATAACAATAGTTTATGTTTATTGTTATTTTCTTAGACACAGTCATTATCGTCAAGATTGTGATCATCACTGTCAACACTGTTATCATCACCATCATTGTTGTCTTCTTCATCATCCCCATTGTTAGCAGTACCTTTGTGCCATAAGAGATGTTGATCTAGATGAGACTTTCCCATTGATGTCAGTCTTTATCTTTCTCTCTCGCTCACTCCCCCAGGGTTCCCTGCTGGTTGCAACGGATGTGAGTCAGACACGGAAAGACTTCAGTCTCAGATTCCACCCAGAAGCCCTCGAAGCATAGACTTGTCCTGTCTTTGCTTCATTTCAGTCAAAGAAATACTTGGATGATGACCATCAGAACTATCTATCTGTCCTGTTAGTGCCTTAGTAGTGTCCTTTGCTTTATTTAACTCTTTGAGACAGCACTCCTCAAATTTCCAATTTACTCCCCACTGAGGCGCAACCTTATGTGGAGTTTATTTTTTTAAATCATTAGGCGTCTTAAATGAGGGAAGAAGCAAAAGTGTTTTTAAAAAATTGTCATGTGTATAAACATGGACCAAAACAAGAAACACTGTCATCAAGCTTTGTTTTTATAGAGGTACATGAAGTTGAATGAAGATTTTTGTTTTCTTTTGCTCTTCCAGATCACAGGAAATTAAATTGTAGGGTTCAAAAAGATTACAGACAAATGGTATATTTCAATAACTGCAGCCTAAAAGAGCTAATTGTCTAGAAATTGGGAAATTTCTGTTTATCTAAGCACATTTCTTTTCCTTACTGTCATTTTGAAAAGAAATCGTGAACACTGCTGGTCTGTAGGCCAACATAATGGCCACAGTGAAATCTGCCACACATGTGTAAGGGATGCATTCTCAATGAGTTTTATATATATGTTTTCTATTATATTTTTAGTTTATATATATATATATATATATATATATATATATATATATATCTGCTTATTTTTGTCTCTCTGCCAATGGGCAGGCTTTGCCTTGTTGTTAGAAATTAGAATGGGCTAATTGGGAAGTTTTGTACGTTTCATTTTGTCACTGAGCTTAAAACGAAAAGTTCATGTGTAGGAGATAAAATGAAGATTTTAATGGTTTGAAATAAATAAGTATTAAGAGGAAGAGATTCTTAGAGCAAACTGAAAATGTCTTTATCATTTTAGTTTAGACTTTCGGTATGCATATGGGGTGCTCAATCTACTTAAACTTCCAAACAAAGACTGATGGGATATATAATGTGCCTTAACTTTCCAACAGACACTTACAGTGTATGTCATGCACCTAGTGGTTAGGCCACCGGACTTGTAATCGTGAGGTTGCGGTGTCGGGGGTTCGAGCCCCTGGCCCGATGTTGTGTCCCTGGGAAAGGCACTTTACACGATTTTTCCTCACTTCACACGAGTGGAAATGGGTACTGGGCCATAGACAGTGAAAGATCTTGTCAGTATATTAGTGTTTTGCGCCTATAAATGGCCGCTTGCTCTGTATGCTTCCCAGGATTTTGAGTTTGTTTCAGAATGCTCTCAGGTCTGCTGGGGTAATAATAGTATAGATTGTGAAGCGCGTAGAGCTTGCTGTTGAGCAGGGATTTAGCGCTGCACAAATGTTATCTATTATAAATTTTCAAACAAGGACCTACAGGGTGTACAAGGCACTGAAACTATCATATAGACAAGTCAGAGACTTGAAGGGTACGTATTGTACTTAAACCTTCAGTGCATTTACATCCGGCAGACGTTCATGTACTGAGTAAATCCCATTGAGAGAGAGGTGGGTGAAGGGGAGACTCCTCCATTCCTCCCACGCCACAAATGGGAATTTCAAGGAGAGAAGGGCGTTGATTTTATAGATTTCAAATATTAATTTTTTTCAGGGAAATTGCATAATTTCTTGTGGACATAAACATCTTTCAAATTGAAAATGTAACGGCCATTTTGCCTCATAATTTTGTCTTCTGTGTTTCTAGCACTGTGTGTCAGGCTTAATTTTTGGCAGGAATAATATAGATTTATATGATTATAATGAGGAGAGATACATTTTTGTTTAGTGGTATTCATTGTAATATTTAGAATAAGATGGAAGATCCTGAGGGTCACCTAAGAAGCGAGAGCTTGGATTTAGAGTAAGAATATTGGTCTTCCTGTGGCGTTTTTGCCTAGGGAACCTGAACCACATGGGTGTGGCGTCAGTGGCCTAGTGGTTAGGCTCTCGGACTCGCAACCGTAAGGTCGTGGGTTCGAATCACGTCAAGGGCCCAACGTTGTGTCCTTGGGAAAGGCACTTTACACGAATTTTCCTCACTTCACCCAGGTGGGAATGGGTACCCCGCTATAGACAGCGAAAGATCTTGTCAGTTTGTTAGTGTTTGAGTGCTTAATCGGCTGCTTGCACTGTATGCTTCCCGGGAAGCTGAGAATGTTTCGGAGTGTTCTATGGTCTGCTGGGGTAATAATATAGTGTAAAGCGCATAGAGCCTGCTGCTGAGCAGGGATATGCGCTATACAAATGCTATCTATTATTATTATTATTTTATTATTGTGGTCTGGGTAACTGCACCCTCACTCACTCAATACAAAACTTTGATGTGTTTCTTTTATTGCTTTATACCTTAATTTTTACTTCAGAATTTTGTTCTCCTTAATTTTACTTTCATTTTGTATAGCTCATTATAGAGTAAATGTACTTTTTAAAGTAAATAACTTGCTTTGTTCCCACCTTTTGTACACATGATACAACATAAGGCTTCTTCCAACATTTTCCTTCTGTAGATCTGAGGAGCAAGGATTCTTTCACTCACCTGTAAAAGCATAATTTTGTGGCTTTGAACTCCCTATTTTTCTGGTGAGAACAGAAACAACAAGTTGCAATAATTTTTATTTGTCATGTTTGCATTAGTGATACAGTAAAGAACAAACCCATTTTCTTTCTCTGAGATTTTGTTCTGAGAAAGATAATTAGACCTTTGATTCTTAACAGATTTTAAAATAAATTATGATTTTTTATGAAAAGTGATTAGTTGATGAAAGCATAAGAGATGAAATCTGAACAAAAAATGTAGTGGGGGGTAATGCAATGTTCCACTAGTGTTTTTGTTGTGTATTTGTTTTATCTGACTGCAAATATTCCTGCCTGCTTGCAGCTATAAGCATTTGCTAAGGACCTTTGTTTGAGTCATGTTTTACTTTCTTTTTCCTTCGATTGCAAGGATTATGGCGTAGGGACATCAGGGTCATAGAAAAAAAAAACTTGCAGGGATTAATGGGTAGGGGTATTAGGGTTGTAGAAAAAAGATATACAGTAGGGATTACTTTCATATGGGATGTTAGGAGTTGTAGGGAAAAAAAAAAGCAGGTAGGCTATTATGGTGTAGACATGTTACAGTTGTAAAAGAAAACGTGGCAGGGAATAACTTTTGCAATCAATCTATCTCCACCCTGCTATGAATGTGTTGATGACCTGACTGCTTTATTCATACCCCGATACAATATTACATTCCTTTGGAAAGGCATCTTTTTCTCAGATCGCTCTTCATTCAGATTTGTGAATTTTACTATTTTCATTTGTTTTTACAGTCCAATTTGTACATTTCTGAAAATTTTGAAAAATATTCCAATATATGAAGTACAATAGATGTTTCTTGTTGTCTGGATAATGTCTTATCTCAATACTTAATACATATCTACAATACAATTATGTAGGCCTACTACGGCAGGAATGAGTCGGCAAATCCTACATTAAGCTTTAAAGTTATAATTATAGTAACTCTTTTGTCTTTGCCTTTTCGCCGGTGCTTTTTTCCGGCGTCTGTTTTCTGCAGCTGTGAGGCTCTTCTCTGTTGCATTCAAAAGATATGAGTTTGATTCCTGCTTGGGGAAATCCATTTCATGGAATATGTCTCCATCTTTTTCTCGGGCTGCTTATCCCTTTCACTTTCAGCCAAGGTTGGCCCTGACAGACAAGGGTGCAGCAGCCCTCCTTTGAAATTATATAAATTGTCACCAGAGACACGAAACAAAAACATTTACAATTAAATCAATCTGGAAGGAGTTGGATCTGATCCTTACTTTGGCTTTAAAATTTCAAGACTTTTTTTTATCTTTTGCCCTTTTCCCCCGATAGTCTACTTGTTTCTCTCTGCAGTCAAATTTCTAAAGTCTCTGAAAGATCATAACGTCAGAGTCATTCCTCAGTCACCCAGATCAATTCCCAAAATCTTTTATTCAAATAAAGACATAATTTCAAGAGGCCACTTTCAACAGTTTTGTTCTTCCCTTCCTAAGTTTTAATTGAAAAAATCACAAACACTTTTGTCGTGGTTCTGATTCGGGTAATCTCTTATGTTATAATGTTCTCCAAAAACGTATGCATTCTGCTACCTCAGAATTACAAAGTTCTATCTGCTCAGTACCTAGTATTGAGAATTTTCATATCAAGCTTTTTTTAATGCTATCCTTTGAATATCTTGACAACGACTCCGCATAATCTTACGATTTTGATAAAGCAGATAGAACATTTGGTTTTTGATCACATGATCTTAGAAACTCAAAATGGCCAAAAATTTCAGATAGAGCTTTGTAGTTCTGTGGTAGCAATTTGTTGAATGACACTGATGATGTTACATTTCTGGCGTTTTTACAATCATTTTCTTCATTGTGAATGTAGTTTACCAGCTAGTTCCAAAAATAAAAATTTTCTTGGTTTTATCACAAATGTTTGTCCTTTCTCACCCTCCAGTGAACAAAAGTTGTTTTGTTTACATTTGCTTGGAAAAAATATGAAGGAACAAAAAGGAAAATAAATGAGGAAAAGATCAAAACAGTTTTTTAAAGAAAAAGACCGCCAGTTTTAGTGTTAGTAAGTGTTTTACGGCACTTGCAATGCAAATAGGTCATTTAAGTGCTGAAGATTTAAGGTGTTACAAGAGCGTAACAAACACAAAAAAGATGGAGGAGAGATTAGGACGACAGATGTCTGACAGGAAAGAAGGAGCAAACCACAACAGAGCACCTTCCAACCACCCACAAAGAATGCCAAGGCAGAACCACTCTCACGGCTATGTAAGTACGACATTCAACTGGAACAAAAATTACCCGGGTTCGAATCTGTTCATGGGATGTTTTGGAGCCTACTTTAAAGAATGCGAGTTTGCTTAAAGAATGCGAAGCTCTGTATTCTTTCTTAACTGTTTTAGATGGGTTGCTTTCTTTCAGACCTTCAGCTTATGTGAAGACAATCAACATTGAGTTGAAAGAGGTGGAAACTCAAAGCTTGAACTGATAGAATCGAACAAGAAGTTTTTGTCCATAAGTGAAAAACTTGTGGATGATGTGGTCTCCCTGTGGGCAGTCTAGGGCTCTGCGGTCCATGGGAACATAGGGATGAACAATCCACAAAACCATCCAGAAGATGGGAAAATGTTTTCAAGAACAAGCACCAGTTATTTCTGCCTTCAAGAAGGCAGGGAAACATTTACAACAAAACCCTATTATTCCTTTCAAAATGAAATTTAAACTACAACATAACTAGACTCAGCAGTTAATAATTCAATCTTTAAAAAAAGATCACCATTTACTGTGTTTGAGGGCGATACTGTAAGCCAAGAACCTGTTGACTGTATGCGTCACAAAAGCCGGCACACTTCAGTTACATGAGGGGAGTCTGCAGTCACATGTCCAATATTGTTCCCATCATGTGTAAAATGTGAAATGGTATAGGTTTAACACCCCAATCAACACTATTAGGTCATTTAAGAGGCGGGTTCCCAGGTGTGTTAGTGTGCTTCCTCTTCAACAAAAGTAACACACTGCACAACAACTTGTTGACATTCTGCAAAGAAAAGTCTAGGTGAAGTTGTACTAGAAGACAGTGGACCATAGAGGAGCAAAAAAAGTAGAAAGACCTTTCCGTTGAGGAAAAATGGCCGATCGTAGCAGAGGTTGATAAAAAGGTACAAAACCCAAATTTGCAATTAGGCAACTATGAACCCAACACGTACACTGGCGTGGCAAAAGGGCATTTTCCTATCTCAATGATTTCACTATTTGCATGATAGACTGAACAATGAAAAGGAATAGCCATAAGGATGATAGATGTTAGATAAAAATGAAGGAGCAAACCACACCAGCATGAACAACAGCCACTCACCTGGACTAACAAACATATACAATGAGCCATTTTAATAAGAATATCTTTACTGTTCACTTCTTTAATTATGAACAAGAATATATCTAAGTTCTGCTGGTTGACAAAAACATCAGTAAAAGTAATGCATCAATGACACAAATATAATAGGCAAAATATGCAGTAAGTAGACCTCAACCTACTGAATATGTATTCCAATAAATACTTCATATGAAACCATGGGAGAACATTAATAATTTGGTAATTGTATATGTCGAACCCCTTTTTCAACTCTATAAGTAAGATTTATTCATGATGCCAGGCATCTGAATCTAACGTCCATCCCCAATAGTAATAGGATCGAGCCAAGCAGAAGCAAAACCTTGAAAACGGCTCGAACAACCCAAGCTCAACAACGCCCCATTGTAATTTTGAACGAGGGCAATCTGCACCTTGGTCCAGAGCAACATCAACTGAGCTAAAACTGTGCTTTGCGGAAGGATAACTTACCCTAAAGAACAACCTGTAGATGAATACAAAATTTCTGAAAGAGGGCTGAAGGACTTAATATTTGAAGTAATAGAGAAGCCACCTGTCAACCAAAGTAGCTCAGCACTACTATGTTTCACCTATTGCAAAGAAAGCTTGCCATTGTATGAGAAAACAAGAAACATAAATTTTCCACAAGAATCGAATTGAAGCTCATAAAACAACAAAGAGTAATGAAGCAATGCTTCAAGTCTGCCCGTTCCTTTTTTTCTTTGCTCAGCCACTCAAATGAATTGTCTGAATCTGGACAAAAATAATACTTGCAAAAGCAACAATTTACAACACTTCAACTTCAAGTAATTACCAGTAGAAATGAATGTAAAAAAGGAGTAAAATAAATCCAAAATGAAAACTACTCTGATCAATTGTCTTGTTAAATAATATCTTTTGACAGCGAGACTACCATATATATATACTTTCAAAGGAACCTCATAACAACAACTTCAATTTGAATGTACATGTATAAATCTTAGAAGAGAAAACAAAATATTCCAAAAATATACAAATATCGAGAAAAAATTTACATAAACAGAAGATAAAAGAACCACTAAGCTTCCAGTTTCTTGTTCAAGTAAAGAAAAGCACACAGAATTGACATTTTAACGATCATTTAGTGAAGGAAAAAGCAAGATAGAAGAAACAACAGAGAGTTTAAAAAGAATTAGGACCCATCAGCAGTAACCTCCAACTGGATGCAAACTCAGCTTGGTTCAGGCATAGCTTATTGTTCATAATAAACTGCTTTCAGGACTAGTACAACGAGTAAAGATATTTTATAAGAAATCACAAGGTTGTGCATGCCATGAGACCAGAAAATTCATACAATCAGGATTTCTCTTAAAATGTTGAACACAAAAGTGCTGCTTCTGTCAAACGTCCATTTTTTTTCAAGGCAAAGTTTGTTGTGTTTTACATTCAACCCCATGGAAGATAAGTTTGAGAAACTTATCTTAAGAAAGGCAGTGATTGGTGTGTAATTTAAGTAGTTCCCAACTCATTGTAGTATGGAACAGAAAAAAAGCTGTCAAATACAGATGCCGTTCACGGCAGCAGAACTAGTGACAATTTCCCCTGACAAGCACAGGGCTGTGGTTCAGACTTATGTCAGTCTCTTTCTCTACAACATTCCCTTTCAGCTCATTCTCTACCGCAAGCTGGGATGAACCATTCTTGCAATCTACACTTTATAGCCATGATTCACATTTTGCTGCTCAACAAATCTTAATCTTCTCCACTCCATGGCCTTCAGACTCACACACACACACACCACTAATTTACATTCAGAATACTCTTTGCCTTTAAACTTCCAGATAAGAAATTAATTTCCCTGCTTTATGATACAAACACATTTGAGTTTCCACTTCAAGAAATTAGAGGAATGATACTTTTCCTTCTTAGTCAGAATGAAAAAAATGGTTGTTCATAATGAGGAAAACGGTCCAGTAGGAAAAGAAGAGTCAATCTGCTGCCACTAAATTTGGCAAGAGCTGGCTCTTTAAGTAGACTGTTCTGTATGATATTGTGAGGTACTTCAGCTTTAGACAAGCTGAGAAAATACAAATTACTTCATTACACATAAATTTTGTTAAAACCAACAAAATGAATTACGCAATAGATTACCATGAATCACAGAAAAGTTCAAAAGTCCATAAAAAATAAAACATTTGTCTGAAATGATTTCAAAAGATATTAAAACAATATTTACGTAGCTGCATAGTTTCCCTCGGAAAAAGGAAAAACATGTACAGTATTTGAAGTTAAAAACTGATTTTTCATTTGTACATGTACAGCAAGTACATTGCTTAAGGTCCCTCACACTTTATAACCATTTCATGTTTTTTAATACCAAGAAAAAACTTCATCTAAAGAAGGCAAGACAATAACTATTTTCTGTCATGAAAAGATCAAATAGATGGCATAATATACGATTCAGTTGCTTTTCAATTCAATGCAATCATATCTGGATAATAAGGTCCGTGATCGCCCACGCCAGTCGGCAAGGCACCGGATGATGATGAATACATATAGATTGCATACACAATTCATTTGTTTTCTAGTTCAACAATAGTGTAATCATAGTCAGAAATTCATCTTTCTCCATCCTTCACTTTATATCTCTGGATGAGTCGACCTTTTCTTTAACCAGTTAGACTAGAAACTGACTTTCTACTGCTGTATGCCATGGTAGTTTAAGAAACACATTTAACTGTCCCAGTGTTACTGCAGGAGATATATATATATTGTTCTCATCCTCCTCGTAATTTTTCCTCCAAGCCCAGAGTCTTGTAGACATGACCAAATGCTCCTTGGCCTTTTCAGAGTAGTCGGTAAAACTTTATCAATAATAGCCAGGCCACAAATTATGCTCTTTCCACAGCCCTTTGACAATAAAACAACATAATTTTTAAATTTTAAAATCCATCACTGTTTAGAGATGGGTTCTTCATTTTGTTTAATGTAGAGTAGATTACACTCTGTGAGATACATCAAGGACTTACAGATCAGTCCATTACCATTACGGAGGGACATGCCATGCAAAATAAAAACAAAACAAAATAATAATGAAACAGAACTCTTTGTTTGCCTTTTTCTCTGCCTCACTCAACAGTAACCCTGCTGTATATTATAAACAAAAATCTCCACGTCCTCCCAACATAATATGCATAACAAAAATATGAACACGAAAGAAAAAAACAACTATTGCTTATAACTTATAAAGAATTTGGTGACATTTGACCAATCTTTAAAAAGCAAACAGGAATTAGCACTTAAGAAAATACAGGAACTGCATACATGTATACACATGTTCCCCTTCCACTTAGGTATTGCCTTGCATCCACCTCCAAAAAACACACCAAAAGGAAAAAAAAAGTAATTTTCTGAAGTAAAGGCACCAAATCATAAAAATGATTGCAACATATGTAGGCCTACACATACATATAACATATATATATATTTATATCAGTACTCAGTCAACAGGAAAAGTCCTGAGATCAATTACATTAACAGCACAGAAAACAGAACTTGTGCATCGCATTACAGTTCATCTCCAAAACAACCATATGAGACTATGATGACTTCAGCGCCATCTGCCTGCGTTTGACAGAAATAAACACCATCCAGACCAGAGCGCACAAGTTACCAAACAAGGTTCGGAACTGAAACAAAAAAGGAAAAACAAATTCATTTACATGTCATTATTATTCTTCTCTTTTTTTAAACACATAACATTTTTTTTAACAAAGGTAAAACTGAAAAAAGACGGATAAAAACACATTCATTTCTGTTTCTTACAGATTTTTTCCAACCCAGTCTAAGAGAGATAAAACAGCCCCTCAGACTGATGGAAATACTTGATAAAATAACATCCCCATTTGGGAATTGAACTCAAGTCTTCTGCATGCAATGGCTACCACTAGTACCACGCACTATATTGCAGACATCTGTCATATCTTTGTGATAATTAAATCTTCTATTGCAGACAAGATACACCCTTCTGAAGTCAGGCATTCAAGCAGCATAATTTATGATAAATACATTACTAATGAAGAATTTGATCCGACAAAACGAATAATTGAATTATGCTGTTGTTTTCATCCATAGTCTGTGGGAGAGAATACAATTCCCTTGTACGTCCTGAGCTCCTGATGAAAAAAACCTGCTAGAAACAATACTTACAACTGCCAATGATTCCGATTTTCATGGACATGTGTTGTAGTCATAAAGGGTTGAAACTAGAAATCTTTTAAACAGGAGCCAGTTACTGGTTGGCTTTTTTTTTGGTGCTGAGTTTAGTTTTACTTAGAGTTTTACGGCACTGCAATACAACAAGCCTTTTACTAGGTTATGTTGGGGCTGAAGATTAGAGGTGTCACTAAAGAGTAATATACAAAGAAAAGAAAGAGATGAGACAAAGAGGATAGATGTTTGGCAGCAAATAAGGAGCAAACCACATCAGAGAATCCGCCAATCAGCCAATTTTTCTGCAGAGGACAAATTAACTTTGCATTGTCCTATCAAAAACATACATTAATTTGAGCACTTTTTTCCTACTAATCTACACAAATGAGCTGAAAAGGGTTTGCTCGAGTAAAAACATGTAGACACAATAATGGTCATTTACTCATGGGAAAAGCAACGCAGATAGGCAGGAACAACACTGAGAAAGAAAAAACAAAGAATTTTTTTTTTCAAAAAATGTAGGTGTTTTTTAATACTTCCATTGACACAATTTATATCATTTAGGACATCAGGCTTTGACCCCACCTATGAGAACTGAAGAGCAAACAAAGACTCAGGTCTCAAGCTATACAGCCAACAAGACCATGAAGCAAAGACCAACTGTGGTATGAGGTCAAATTACCAAACATAACCAAATGTAGGAACTGGAGACACATCAGCAGATAAGTTCACCAACTCAAACAGAGGAAAATTAGCATGGAAACTGACTGGCAACACATCCATCAATTCACTGGAGTAAAAAAAGCCGTTTTTAACAATGTCTGTGTGTTTACAACTCTGTCAGTTTGTCTGTCTGCCTCAACAAAATGTGATGCTCTGACCACACTATGACTATCACATGATTTTGATGTTTGTACGAGTAAAGAAAGACACATCAATGTAATAACCATCATTTAGCGAAAAGAAATAAGCAAGATAGACTGACAGGAGGATTAGTAGAGGGGAAAGAACAGAGGTAGGATCTACCAGTGGTGCCCTCCAATCATCTGCATGTGTTTTTGAGGGAAAGTAGTTTAAGTAAGTGCTGTAATTTATTTGGTAATGCTACTGAAGATGGATCCAGTGAGAGTACATAGTTTTGTTACAACTTTATGTAATCTTTTTCAATTGACACAAGGATTAACTGTCATCAATGACTTTTAAAAAAAATAGTTGAACAGGTCAAACTTAATTAACTGTATCATTAACAAATTCACAATTCAGAAGAGTTCTTTCAATTACTGTAAGCAGGTAATAGAGAAATGTGTTAGCGTAAAGTATTGAAAACGCCTACTTCTCGGGTTACTACAAGCAGCCTGTCACCACCCCAATAAACACAACTGTCACTAAAACATATATGACATCAAACTAACACCAACGAAAGGAATTTTACTGATTACGACAAAATCACTTATAGTTATAGCCCTGAATGGTGTCTACAGTACTGCCAGTAATACTAAAGACAGTCACAAGTGGCTGCAGTGCTGTCAGTTACACTAACAGGCAAAAGCTAAAGACACTGTCACACATGGCTATAGTACCTATAGTACGTCATTGACATAAACAGCAGGAAAAAGCTATGGGCTGAGTTAAGTTTGCAAGGCAAGTAATCATGACAACAGAAGTTCATAATGTCACATGCTTTCATTGTCTTGTAAAGGCTTTGAGAAGTACAAGTTATCTCCCTCTTACTTACTTACTTACTCTCTCGCTATACTGTAAGGTACATATGGTGGAGAGCAGTCGATGCTATGCATGTCTGTCCCAGGCCACTTTCTCTAATTCTAGCACATCTAGGCCCTGGGTGATTGCCTCATTTCTTATTGTGCCTCTGTAGCTTCCAGTTGGTCTTCTCCACTTTCTCTTCGCAGTTGGTTTCCAAGGCCATGTCTGATAAGGCAATCTCGTCTTTGGCATTCTCAAAACATGTCCCAGATATTTCCATCTTCTCTTTTTTATTGTCGAGTAGATGTCTTCAATTCCAGCTCTTTCCAACACTTCATTATTTATAAACATTTCAAAAATAAAGTTTAATCTTCATAAGGAGTGAGGGGTTGCGGCACCAGATATTACAAAAGACATGTTAATCAAAGTCGATACCACAAGACGACTTCCTTATGGTCGGTCACAGTAATGTGTCCTTTAGCAAGATGTATTAGTCCAAGGTTCAAGCCCCTAAAACTGCACTATGGCAATGAAGAACGACTTGTCTGTAAGTGTTGTCAAGTGACAGGCTTATAATAATGATATTCAGCTAAAAAATTGTCTAACTTTTTTTCACACTATAATTACACTGTTTAAAATGTACACCTGTCTAAGTCAACCACTTTTCTCTATGACAAAGCACGGCTGTTTCAGACAATTTTGACTGTATATTAATAGTAGTGACACTTAACAAAAAGCAATAAAATGCTGAAAATCCATTTATCTCAGATCTAGGCAGTCTTCACAGCCTCATTGAAGTCCCCATTCAGGCACAGAAAGAAAATACACTTTTTTAAACCCCAAAATGAAAAAAACCCTAAATAAACACAGACATTTCCAACTAACCTTGAGAGGAACAAAGTTGATGTTGATATACTGAACAACACTCCAGACTGTCCAGTTGAGCTTCAGGATCATCCAGTACTGTTCCTTAATCTTCTTCACAGCCCCTTCCTGGCCAGCACCCTGTGACAAAGACAGCTTATTTGTCATTTATGCCAACTCTTCCTTGTAATGGCCATGATCATATAAGTGTTTTATACCCCAATCAATATGATTTAAAAGATCATTTACGAGGCTGGCTGCTTTGACTCTATCAAATGGAGCCAACCCAGACTAATTGATATACAATTCCCCACCTGTTAGATGGAGGTATTTGACAAATAACTTCTCAGAGAGAAAATCAACTCATGTCTTTTGAGTGCAAAAGAGAAGAGTGTATCTATCACACCAGAGATGCCAGTCTATAATGGCTACATTTCAACAGGATACAGGTATCGACAAAAGTAACAATGAAACTGAAATAGAAAAAGAAGAACGAACAGTCCACAACAAATTTGCCATCAACCACATGCAAAAGCAGGCGAGTCATATATACCAAGAGGGAAGAAAGAGAGAGTGATCACTTGTCTAAGTCAAACAATGTAAAAAAAATCCACCTAAACCAACAGATAGCCAAGAAAGAAAACAAAACCCAGGTACACACAAAAAACAAACAGACAAGAAGCAAAAGTTCTGATGCTTTACCCAGGAGCCAACACGGTAAGACACGAGTTGACACACTGACAGCCTCACAATGCAGTGAAAAAGCTAGACCACAGTCATACAGGTAAGCTTTAATGTCTCCAAAAAGTGCCACACCAGGTTACAAATATACATCGTTGCTTCGTTAGTGGAAAGCTCACGACGTAATCAGTGAATGCCACCCTCAGAAAAGTCAGCTCTCTCGCTGTTTCATATGTATAAGTGCATTCACATTAACCAGCGGAAGGACTACTATTCACAAATAAATACAATGCATGAGGGAGAGAACAAGTTCAGTTTAGCATGATGTAAGCAACCAGCAAAAAAAAACTTCATCAAATGCACAGTATCGGTGACAAGTGAACACCTACCTCCACGATAGAAACATAGTACAAGAAGAGGAGCAAGAACGGAGGCGCGAATATAAATCTGTCAAAGAGCACTCTTTTGATCCCAGCATTGGGTCGATTCTTGGGCATGATCTTCTCCAAGTACACATAAAAATGATGTATCAAAGGTCCATTCACTAAGAAGCTGTAGAAAAGAAAGACATAAAAAAGCACTGATCAATACACAAACAAATAAGTTGAAGCAGAAAAAAAAATTAATTCGCAGTGCCAGATTAGATCATTAGAAACAATAATTGACATCATATGTGTCGCGACATGGTGGAATCAGGCACTCATGAATTTTTGGGCATATGGGGTTTTTGGTATCATCTTAAAGCTTGTTCATTTGCCTTGCTTTTTATGGAAAAAAAAATCCATCTATGTTGAACAGAAGACGAAATTAGGGAGAAAATGGCCTCCAAAGTTTTGTAATTTCCATAGCTTGAGAGTCCTTGGAAACTGAAAATTGACATTTTTTGTGCCTTTAATCAATGTTTTACACTAAAATCCACACAGAAATGTGCTTTTACATAGATATAAAAGGTGTTGAGCCAAAAAAAAAGAAAATTAGAAAAAAAATTGCCCAACAGTCAGAAAAATGCGCAGTGATTGTTGCTTGCTTTCCAGACTTTTGATAATTGATAGAATGCTGGCCTTGACTTGGCGGTTCATGCTTTAGCATCTGCCTCGGTTCCACCTTTACCATCAATGACATTTCCAAGGTAGGTAAAGGAGTCCACTTCTTCCAGGGGAGTATCTTCCACAGTCACAGCAGGGCTTGAAACTTTTCCTAGCTTCACTACTTTTGACTTGCCTAAATGTATACGTAGGCCAACACTCCTTGATAGGCTGTTAAGTTCCTTGGTCTTTTCTTGCATCTGAGCATGTGTGTGAGAGAGCAGTGCAAGGTCATTGGTGAAGTGTAAGTCGTCCAGCTGCTGCCAAGGGATCCACTGTATTCCATTACGCTTGCCTCTGGTGGCTTCTTTCATGACCCAGTCAATTGCCAGTATGAAGAGAAAAAGTGAGAGCAAGCATCCTTGTCGCACTCCAGTCTGTATCTGGCATGGTTCTGAGAGTTGTCCTTTGTGGAAGACTTGGCAGTTTGTTCCATCATAGGTGGCCTTCTAAAGCTTGACGATTTTGTAAAGTATTCCAAAATGCTGCATGAGTTTCCATAGAGTTTCCCTGACCACGCTGTCAAACGCCTTTTCATAATCTATGAAGCTGACCACGTAAGGAGAATTCCATTCAAGTGATTGCTCAACAATGATGCGAAGAGTAGCAATCTGGTCCACACATGATCGTTTTTTTAGGAATCCTGCCTGGTTTCCTCAGAGCTTCTCGTCTGTTGCCAGCTTGATTCTCTCCAGGAGTATCCTGTTAATGACTTTCCCACGCATGGACAGGAGTGTAATGCCTCTGTAGTTGTTACAATTGCTGAGGTCTCCCTTCTTTGGCAGCTTGATTAGGTGGTCTTCTTCCAGTCTGATGGTATTTCCTCCTTTTGACAAACCTTTTCAAATAGAGCATTGAGAATTTCCACTAACATATCTTTATCAGATTTTTAAGGGCTTTTGGTGGTATATGGTAGGGACCAGCTGCCTTGTGGGACTTCAGTGATGTTATAGCTGCTGCAATTTCCTCTCTTGAAGGTGGTTCCGTAACTATTGGGAGGTCATTTCTTGCTAGAAAGATTTCTGGTTGGTTTTCTGGAGGTGGTCTGTTCAAGAGTTGATCAAAGTGTTCTCTCCATCTGATAAGTCGCCTCTCTGGGTGGAAGATAGTCTTTCCCTCTTTGTATTTCACTGATAGAGTGGGCTTGCCGAACCTACCTGAAAGAGTTTTTGTTGTCTTGTGTACAATCTGCAAGTGTCCATATGTTACTGCTTTCTCTGCCTTTTTGACCAGGACATTGCATTCAACAAAACAAACCCATGACAAAAACCTTATGAGAGACAATACAATTTCAAAATTTATAAAACTGTTCCCACTCAAATCTGTAAATGCTATAAATCAAGTGCAACTCACCCGAACGATGAATATGCAAACACGCTCCTCCAGTTCATGCGTCCACCAGTGCTAACGTCTGGTGCCAGGACCTGAGACAGTAAGTTCCCAAAACCAGACACAACACCACTGAAACAAAATAAAACAATCATTTGAGGTAATTATCATTTTAACATAACCTTTTACATGTGTACGTCAAATCATTTCACTTGGTATTTTAAGTCTTTCAAGGCATGGACAACATTTTAAAAACATTTCATGATGATATACAATGGCTGTTGTGAGCAACAGGGTTGAGGGAGGGTTAGATTTTTAATGCCTTTACCTGTCTGATGATAGACCAAATGATTAATTTTTAATGCTCACTTGCTTATGCAACAGAATTTTCAACGTGCTAGTCTGCTCGGTATTGAAGAAGAAAGTTGCTATTCTCACCCGCCCGGAAGTTCTCGCAAGATCAACTCCTCCCCTCTTCTCTCTCTCTCTGTCTCTTTCTGAATACTGTCTATCGGTGTGGACGATCAAATTGACCAAAACAAAGTTAAAAAATGATGTTAAAACACAAAAGTAAATAAATTTGGTTGTCTACAAAGATGCTACGGCTATTTAACTTTTCGAATCGAGCCGAACTACGCGGGTCACCATTTTGTTTTGCCCGGAAATTCTCGCGCTACTCCTCTCTCTCTTTCTCTCTCTCTCTCCACTGCCCACAGACAAAATTGTACGCTTTTAGTAGGCTACAATTGTAATGGAACGTTTGTTCACGGCACAGAATTCTACAATTTTTCTGTTATCACAGTGTAGAATTCTGTGGTTTAGGGTGAACGCAAAATTTGGTAAACGCGCACCGGGTGAGAATAGCCACAAGACTCGCCTGCACTATTCTCACTCCGGGTGAGAATAGAGGTGGCCATTGAAGAAATCTAACATTTAACATTTCCATCTTCTATCTTATTATCCGCCATAACTTTCAAGAACGAGGAAGAAGAAGAAGATCCGCCATAACAAAAGTCAGTGATCATCATTTTCACCCCCAACACCCTCCCCCCCCCCCCCCCTCTCTTCCTCTAGAAGAAATATAGAATTTTTTCTGGTAGGAATTTTATTCAATCATTATTTCCTTGATTTCTGTCAGGACCAACATAACGCAATGTAAGTTATATTGTGCTAATGGTAGTTCAATGTATCTACTAAAATAATCTTGTTCCTTCTCTTTAAATTTTAGGGTTGAACACTCATTTATGAAAAAACAGAAAAATATTTTTGGAATGAGATGGACAGATGCAGCGTTTTACATTGCATCTCACAGGAGAAATTAAACTGGCTCAATGAATTGATGTTTCACACATGAACACAATGCATGTATGCCTGCATGCACACACGTACACACTCATAGGCCAACACGCATATCTTCCCCACATCCTACCCTAAAAAGGGTTTTAAATATATCAGGGGATTTAAAGAATATACTTATAACATCAAGAATTGATCTATTTTTATCAACACCACTCTTATACGTTGGGTGAGTCCTTTTTTAGATTCACGTGGAAAAAGTGTCTAGTATGTCTGCAGAGAAAAACTAAATGATAACACTGAAATTTGGGGGGCAGGGAGATGTTGCTGTCAAAAAAGAACGATTTGCAAGCTAGGTTTCTCTAAAATATTTATTGCTGTGATCCTAGGTATGCACCCAAAGGTGTTAACTCCTGCTCCTGTCAGCTAGAATGATACACTCCTTGTCGTTTCTGTTTACTAGTGCTGTGTGATTTTGAGAGAAAAAAAAATAATCGAAGCTTCAAAGTGTGATGTAACTATTCATGCTATTCGAATACCGTGTGTGAATAGTTTTTTCATATTATACACATGTACATGTAGGCCTAAGGCTAGGTATAATACGATGAGTCTTTCAGCAGCATTCTTTATTCAATATTCACTATTCACAGCACTATTCATCCAGTGATTCTCAGCCCAGTGTGTGCATCTGCCTCATTACGTATAGCACCAACGGCTTGTGCAGTGCGGGCGGTGATGAAACATTGGTTGTTTTTTCTTTAATAAGAAAAAAGCAACTAAGGCAGAGGGGGGGAGGAGGAATAATAATAAAAACAGGCAACCACTTGTGACTAGTGTCTGTGTGGAAAAAAAAG